TAAGAGTTTTATGGCATTTCATCCCCTTTATGGAAATGAAAGAGATACTGCAATGACTATGGTGGAGCTGGCTCCCTTTCAGCTCATGTTAGCCCACACATAACTGAATGATGAATGAAGAATAAATGAAGAACCTGTTCTCCCAGCACAGGTGAGAATGAAATCAAGCACCTGAATATACCTGTACCCATCCCACAAACCTTGTGTAAAGGCAGGGACAGATGCCCTCCTTACCTCATGGTGCTCCAGCAGATACTGTTGGATCATCTGGTGACAGAGCTTGCATCTGACCTGAAAGAGGGAAGAGGAGCATGGAATGCAGGCAATCGGCTGCTATACCCAAAGACACACCCACTCCTTGGATGTCAGGAAGGCAAGATGCAGCACTGATCTGCTCCAAAGGTTTTTGGGTTTTGCCAAAGAGCAGCTCCTGTTTGGTCTGCAAGGCAGGTGGAGCTCTTTTTAGAGGCTGCCTGCAATGTTACAGCTCACCCATGAATCTACATTTATTTGTTTATTTGTTTGTTTGTTTGATCAAATTTGTCACTGACCATCTTGTGAAACAACACTGGGTGGTTTACAACAAGATAAAAATTCATTAAAATGCAACATAAAAACAGTCCTAAAAATAAATAGGTTCCAAGAAGATGGAAGGTTGGCGAGTAATTCCAGGGAGCTTCATCAGGGGGCTAACCACCCCCAGGGACGGGTAGAGCCCATATCACCCCATACACACTGACAGACCCAGGTCTTTAAACCTTTTCGGAAAGCCAGGAGGGTAGGGGCCTGCCGCACTTCTGCGGGGAGAATATTCCAAAAGGCGGGGGCAACGGCAGAGAAGGCATGCATGTTTTTGAGATGCATCATGGAAAGAGGCAAGGTGTATGAAGGTTAATTTTAGACAAATCAGCTTTAGAAATGAAAGGTGAAGAGCCTTTGTTCTAGATGGGATTTAGGAAGAAGAGGGCCAGGTGAGGGTGCTCCAATCTATTATCCATTGGTTTTCTGAGTCCACCTCAATGTTAAGCAATAACCCATTGCAAATATCCATCTATAGAAATCATGGGAACTTCAACACTGTCACTCTCCAAGCTTTCAGAAGCAGTTTGAAGACTATCCATTATTGTATTCGTTTCTGTTGATCTGGTGCTGAGAACAATTCAATTCGATTCATTCATTCATTGTTTCGACCATGGGTCGTAACAAATTGGTGCTGAGAACAAGGAGGGAAAATCACTGCCCCACCTCAAGTTCCTGCAAATCCTGCAGCAACAATAGTCCACTATCTCACCCCACCCATAAAGAAAATGATTCCAATAGTCAGGCAGTGTCAAAGTTTGTTCAGTGGGAAGTCAAGGGTGAAACTGACAAAACTGTTGCTATGGGCAGGGGGGTGGGGAGTGGCAATCTATCAAGCCAGCCCTGCTATTATAGGACCTGAAGCTCAAACCTTCTATGGGAATAAGAGTTCCTTCCAGTGGGGAAGTGGAGCTGCAGCATCTTAAAAAACAACACAGAAGTCTAAGCTGTTTCGAGTAGACCATAGCTACAAGGATCAGCTCAGTTCTCCCATGCCACTGACAATGTGGCAACACAGAGATCCAGAACTTCCTTTAAGTTGGTGGAGAATATTATCAAAGAGGTATTTCTGCAATATAATCTCTAAGCATACCATGTTCCTGTTGCCTCATAGGTACAATGGCTCACTGACTGCCTCCTATCAAAGGTTAGCAAAGCAAAAGGTCCTCCGTACCTGTTGGTGGGCACTGGCAAGGTGCTCCTTCATCTCCTTTGAAGCAACCAGTTCCTCACACTTGGGGCAGACAGCAAGAAATCGCATGCAATGAGCTTCATGGAGGGAGAAGTTCACCGCAGCCACGTCCCGCTTGCTGAGCAGGGAAAGAAAAGAAGGACCATGGGCAAGATCACCCTGATGTCAGAAACTTCACTTTTGGTAAAAAGGCTGGTATAAATAGACCAATTCTTCTTTCTATTCCTTGCAACCCAATGGCACATTGGAAATAAATTGCATAAAGGGGCTTGGCACTGGGTCTGTCGATCAGGAGGCTAATTCTTGAAAAACTGAACAGAATGGGATCATATTTGGAATTATGGGATCACCAGCAAAAGAAAAAGTGAGTTTGAAAATGTGCCAGGTCCAGCTGGAGCTGTGGAGAAAAATATTCCAGGTAAAAATTCCCCCAATGCATCCTATGCAAGAGGAAGTTGGGCAGGGTTCAGATTACTCACAACTGCTCCATACTAAACCTTCTTCCCTTGTGACCAAGCAACCCAGCATAGCGAAGATGTGGCCCACCCAGTGCAAGCAATCGCACAAACTCAGAGGCAATGGGAGGGAGAACAGAAATACACAGATGCAACATTACTTTGTTACACAGAAGAAAATACAGATGCCTCCTGTGGCCACTGCTGGCAAAGTGGTCTATTGTGCACGGTTTTCTTACCTTGGTTAAGTGAGTATTGAAAGGGCAGGTTTTTAGGAAATAACAATTTGGATTTATATCAGAGCTCAAGGCAGTTTACATGGGTACAGCCCTTCATTTTATTCTCACAAGAACAGTCCAGTGAGGTAAGGTGAGCTCAGAGAATGACAGGTCCGAAATCACCCAATTAATTTCCATGGCTGTATCTAGTCCAGCAACTTAATCTGATAACCACAGTTCTTTCAGATTCATACAGTAAATCCAGAAAATTGGTTAATTCAATAACCAGATTAAGCATGTTGTGTAAAGTCTTGGCTGACACTCTACATCAAGAGAATTTGGAGATTCTTTCTCAAACACTGAAGACATTTCAAGGTACAGGATCATTTTCAAATGATAACACAATTTTTCAACATGGATGGTTAAGGTGTTGAACCAGGGGCAGCAGGTTTTAGTCAACCCTCAGCCATGGAAACTCAACACATGACTTTGGGCCAGTCGCTCCCAGTCCAGCCTACATCCCAGGGTTAGTGCTATGAGGATAAAATGAAGAGAGAGCCCTATGTAAGCCACCTTTTCCTCCGAGAGAAAAGGCAGGATGGAAATCTATTTATAAATAAATAAATAAATAAATAAATAAATAAATAAATAAAAAAAAGTATTGGCAATTGAGAAATTTAAAATTCTTTGAGGCAGTTGCATTAGCAGGATAACTCAACACAGGGACGAAAATTCTAGAAATTAGATCTCTCTAAAAATATTCTTTTAATCAAATCTGCTCACAGTTCATGTTTTCTTTAATACTTGTACAGCCACAGGTTATTGAGCAAAAGATTAACTGTGACCAGATTCGACTAAAAGAATATTTTTGGACTGACATACCGAATATTTGGATTTTTCCTCAAGGTCACGTATG